TACAGTTTTTCACCGTATATAGTAGGGGAATTTACCGTTAACCATTTAACAGGTTTTTACTGTAGCATTTTTACAGTCTTTTACCGTTAAATTCACGGTCATTTTTTACATTGTGGTTCCTGATTTGTGCAGCTCAACAGTCCTTTGTCTTAAAACCCATACGTTATAAATGGTGATATATTTAAGTTAGATTTTTCTCATTACAATTTGTAGGGGTTCCACACGTCACACATATTTTATAGATTTTTTTTTTTAAATTATTCCACATTTATTTTTTGACAAACTTTAATTAAAGGTAAGATTTGTGTGAATATTGTAAATGAAAGACTAACTGGACAAACCGCTAAATCTATTTTTTCTGAGTCCGTTTGCAACTATTTACCAAGGGTGCCAATATTAGTTGAGTTATATAACATTATATACACACACTTATATTTGACAACCCAGAAAATAACAGATGGTAAAGCTTACTTTATGGATATTTAAGTGTTTACCGTTTAACTTACAAAGCATTTTTACAATAACATGAGGACGGGCATCAGAGAATGTAAAACACAAAAATGTAAAAGAGAGTGAAAATATGAGCAATTAACCAAACTAACGTTTCTCCAATATATAGACAGGTTTATTTTTTAAATATACTGAAGTGTTGTGCTTCTACGCATTTACATTTTGTATTACATTATTTTAACTTTACGTGATGTTTTAACTTACACATAGGTACTGTAGTTCTGCCCCAATTAGTTTACACTGATTTTATTGCCCTAAATAAACATTTACACACAGTTATGGGGGAATTTACATAAATGCCAATTTTATTCACCTCTAAATATTTTTTTTTTAATTCTTGTATCATTCTTACAAATGCGGTTTCTATGTTCTCGTGGATGATACATGATGCTGTGAATCCCTGTGAATGAAGCCAGTGCACGAGGCCTGAATCAATAACACACACACACACACACAGACAGACACAGAGACACACACACACACACACACACACACACACACGCCTGCATCGATACAAAACACTGTGCATATGACCAACACTGAAGCAGCATCTCCAGAACCAGAGACCTTTAATCATCCGTCACCGCACATGTGCGTGCATTTAAACGAGCATCAAGCACAAATAAACACATGCGAACGCATAAATGCAGGTAAAGCGGCGCATGATGAATGAGAGCGAAGGGCCGTTCATTCAGGACGCGTTCCGACGCGCGTTTCTGGACGCGTCCTGAATTACCGCGCGGCCCCTGGATCACACGCGTTCGTTCTCACCTCCGACAAACGCGTCACTGCATCGGATGCCAGTGCTGTTACTCCAGATCCATCGACGGAGGTTTGTGGAGGTCTCCAGCACATCGCATTGCTATATGATCCATAAGCGAGCAGTATAGAGACGGATACATGAGGCGCGCACATCTATTCTCCAGGCAATGAAGCTGCTCTTAAAGGGGACGCGGCGCGATTTCTGATTGGTCCTTAAATGGGCCACGTCATGAAGTCACCACTGAGTGAAGGTGATTGAGAGCATCCTCCTCCTCCTCCATCAGGATCTGATCACGTGAGTGTATAAACACACTGCTGCTGTATGTTCAGTGACAGTTACTGAGAAAAAGAATGTGTAATTAAATTAGTTACTTATGAAAATGTTAACGATTACAAAGGGGGTTGCATCTGAATTGTTTAACACAAACACCCACATACAGATTTAATTGACTTCTTTCATAAATTGCATTGACTGCTGCTCTAAAATATAAGACACCAGTGTTTCAGAAGTACAGAATAAGACACGTTTTTTTTTTTAAATGACTGTTTTATTTCCTATTTGGGTTTATGCATATGCTTTATTTTTTAGGATTAAGATTTTATATTTTTCTTAAGAACTGTTTTTTTTTCCCCAAGGCATTTTTAGATACCAGTGTTTCCTTTAGCTATGCAAAGATTTGTTTTAAAAAACAGCATCATAGCGACTATCTTGTTATGATTTTAAATCTGTATTTAACCTCAGAACGATCTCAAAGTAAGCCCGCGTCTGTTTTTGTGGCGGCTGTGCTTTAAAATTAAATGATTACGATCTTAATTCAAATGATGGAGGATTTTGAAAGTCTGAGACACCCAATCACGATCCCCTCACCTATTAGCAGTGTGCACTGCTTCAAAACAGTTTAATTTGGATATTCTATAACCTTTTCACTTTTATTTTGCCTCTGTCCCAACTTTTTTGGAGTGTGTTGCAGCCGTCAAAATCAAAATTTGTTTACATTTACAAAATAAATGCTGTAAGATTGTTTTCACATCTAGTACACTTAAACTCAGTTCAGCTGAACTACCCTAAAAAGGGATCCAGCCGCAAGTGACCTCAGTGCTCACAATATAAGTGTACCCCAAAACAAACTGAGTATGGTTCATTTGTGGGTCCTTTTACGGGTGTCCAAGATCAATTAGTCTGTGTTTATTTATATTTTCTGCTCGGATTGCTCAAATGAACTATAGATGTGGGAAAAAAGCATCCTAGATATATCATGCAGGCTTCTGTCCAAACCAATTAGATGTACTAACATAGCACATATTGTTATATCAGTCTAGCCTGGATCTCCATGCCACTTGCATTTTTACACACAATAACAACACAGTGTCCAAAGCCGCAAAGGACTGTGGGAGGAGAGCGAATCCACACGTTCATGAAGAGTTGTTGTACTCTAGACACATGTGCTATTCTCATCAAACAACACAGGCTTCATGGGAGCGGACTCAAACACACATCTGCTGCTCACTTTAAATATAAAGTAGCTGCACCGTGTGTGTCGACTGGTGATGAAGTTATGTCGTTCTCATTCAAAATGTGTTCTGTGAGATTCATTTCTTAAACCAGACAGCCTTGTCAAACAACAGAAGGAACATGAATCACGTTAGAAAAAGACAAACTCGTGTGACATCTCAGATGGAGTTTAAACAGGAAAGAAAAGAGTGTCTGAGAAATTCATTATCATCAGTGTTGGGAAGTAACTTACATGTAACTAAATGTAATTGTAATCAGTTACAGTTACTGAGAAAAAATGTGTAATTAAATTAGTTACTTTTGAAAATATTAACGATTACAAAGGGGGTTACATCTTTCACACACTCACACACACACACACACACACACAAACTCTCTCTCATACACACACACACACACACACTCTCTCTCTCTCTCTCTCACACACACACACACACGCACAGTCTCTCTCACACACACACACACACACACTCACACACACATTTTATTGATTTCTTACATAAATTGCAGTGTCTGCTCTAAAATATGAGACAGCAATATTTCAGGAGTTTAGGACACGTTTATGTGATAACAGTTTTATTTCTTTGGGTTTATGTATATACTTTATTTTTTAAGATTAACTGTTTTTTTTCCAAGTCATTGTTAGATGCCAGTGTTATAACTATGCAAAGATTTGATTTCAAAAACAGTATCATAAACTATTTCTTGTTACACTCTTAAAAATAAAGGTGCTTAAAAGGTTCTTCACAGAAGAACCATTTTTGGTTCCACAAAGAACCATTCAGTTCTTTAAAGAACCATCTCTTTCTTACCTTTCTATAATCTGAAGAACCTTCTTTTGCCACAAAGAAGCTTTTGTGAAACAGAAAGGTTCTTCAGATGTTAAAGGTTCTTAATGGAACCATTTAGACAAAAAGGTTCTTCTGTGGCATCGTGAAGCACTTTTATTTTTAAGAGTGTATGGTTTTAAATCTGTATTTAACCTCAGAATGATCTCAAAGTAAGTCTGATTTTGTGGTGGCTGTGCTTAAAAAATTAAATGATTCTAATCTTAATTCAAGTGAGAATTGAAATCATATTTGAAAATGATTAACAGTTGAAAACATTAGAAATTTAGATCAAATGTAATCAGTTACTGTCATGTCTTAGGCAAATAACACAATAAATCTAACTTTAAGCACAAAAAGCATCCGACAGATAACCCATGTGTGTTAAAAACATCTGATGTTCAGATCCAGCAGCTCCTGGGAAAGCTCTGCATGCTCGTGTCCAGCAGAATGAACTGCTGAGGGTCTGGACTCATGAAGAGCCTTAGATGAATTATTCAAGCACACAACACCCCGCTGGATGTCTGCAGACCGATGGAGACTGTTTTCCGGCTCACTAATTATTCATTACAAAATGAGCCTTTCACTTCTGCGTCCACGATGAACTCCTGAGCAGCCTTGAGCATCATCAGTGTAAGTCCAGAAATATTCTCAGCTGTCCACAGGAAGCCCTTCATTTATTAATAATTAGGTTCAGCGGATGCTGCTTTCAGTGTACAGGAGTCCATGCCATTTCACACATTTCATGTATTTAAAGCCACTCCACAGATCTTCCTCAGAATCAATAAAGCAAATGTGGAAATATCTCCAATTATTGGTTCATGCACAGTGCTGTTCAATGGGGCGGAGTCAGTATGTTGTTTTTTTTTGGAAAGAAAACGATACTTTTATTCATTAAGGATGCATTAAATTGATCAAAAGTGTCAGTAAAGACATTTAGAATGTTACAGTAGATTCTTTTGAACGTTCTGTTCATCTGTGAATCCTGAAAAATAAAGGTTTCCACAAAAATATTGTGCAGCACGACTGTTTTCAACATTGATAATAATCAGAAAAGTTTCTTGAGCAGCAAATCAGCATATTAGAATGATTTCTGAAGATCATGTGACACTGAAGACTGGAGTAATGATGCTGAAAATACAGCTGCGCATCACAGAAATAAATGACAGTTTAACAGATATTCACATAGAAAACTGTTATTTTAAATAGTAATAATATTTTACAATTTTACTGTTTTTACTGTATTTTTGATCAAATAAATGCAGACTTTATGAGCAGAAGAGACTCCTTTCAAAAACATTAAAAATCTTACCGGCCCCCAAACTTTTTATTAATTTTATTTTATTAGTTGTATTAATAGATTAATCTCATAATAAAGAAAACACACATTCCCTTGAAAGCTTAAATTTAATTTCAAGAGACTACACCTTTAGTCCCAATAGTTGAATATACAAAATGAAGGGATATAAATATTGTGTCAGATTGCTTTGCGTCTAAGTATCTGGCAGACTGGCACAAAGTTAAATAAACCAAAACCACCGATGTTTTTGTAAAGCGTTATAATCAATGTATGCAAGAGCAACAGATCAGCCCTGGGCAGGTGTTACAGATGTTAGAGATGACTGATTTCAAGTCAAATCGATGGTAACAGAGAGAAAATGCTCAACACATGGCTTGCAGAACATCTCATCATGTAAATTAACAGCATCAAGCCTTTAAACCTCCTGTCAGTTTAATATTTAACCCAGTATATTCCCCAACTAACCTGGTCCTAGTACGACAAGCTATGATTTTCATGTCATGAACATGTGATTGATGTGAACAGCTCTCTCTAGTGGATAGACGCCGCTACTGCCACACATCTCCAGTCTCATGGAAATGGTGCAGGTGGTCTGAGTATCTGCAGGAAGAAAGAGGAAGAAAGTGTGAACCAGAAACCACGTGCATTAAACACAATTCATGTGAACACACAGTGGTTCAAAACCAGATCAAATGTCATTCAGGAAACTCGCACAGAGTAAAAACACTCACTTTTTTGCACAAAATGCAGCACAGTCCCGACTGATACTTTCACTCCAGGCGGCTTTATACAGCACCTGATCACACACACACACACACACACACACACACAGGCAAAACACTTAAAACAGCAGTGCGCTGTGACGGACGGCGTAAACCGAGGATCATGTGACTCACCAGGAAGACGAGGCAGTGCAGCATCAGCGTGTAGAAGAACGCCACAGTTCTGGCCGTCTTATTGGAGAGGATCACACGACCCTGAAACACATTCGCCGAGCATCAGCACAGACAGCAGGAACAGCAAAAGAGGAGGGAAATTACAAAACAACACCGTCACCGAAGACCAAGCGAACCGGATCAGGTTTGGTGAAATGTGAGCACGTGTTGTGTCAGCTTAGCTCTGAATGTGTCTGTACAAGCATCTGGATCTTTTTTCCCAACATTAACTAAAATGTAGAATCACTGTATGTTTAGTCAGCTGATCACCAGAGTCACACGCTGCAGATATCTGCCAACCTTGAGAAAATAGATTTGAGTACCACAGTATTTGAATAAAAAAATATCCCAAAAAAATCTAAATAAATTCACCCAAAAATGAAAATTTCCTAAAAATCAAAGGGTATTCATCCTCAGACCATCCAAGATCCAAGTTTGTTCCTTCGTGGGATTTGTAGAAACGTAGCATTGCATCAGTGTCTCAGCAATGGATGCTCTGCAGTGAATGGGTGCCGTCAGAATGAGAGTCCAAACAGCTGATAAAAACATCACAATAATCCACAAGTAATCCACAGCACTCCAGTCCATCAGTGAACATCTGGAGAAGACAAAAGCTGAGACACATCCAGCATTAAGACGTTTTTGACTTCAAACATTTCTACAAACCTGATGAAGAAACAAACTCATCTACATCTTGGGTGGCCTGAGGGTGAGCAAATTTTTGTAGCAAATTTTCATTTTTGGGTGAACTATTCCTTTAAATCATACAAAAAAAATAATAATATTAAGCCAATCAAAGAACTATGCTACTCCTTTAATTAATACTAATGTAGTATAAAATAGTAAATAGTATAATACTTTTAATAGAATAATTACAATACTAATATGTATGGCTGTTGTTATTTTTACGTTTTAAAAATTTAAACCATAGTTTTTCTTTTGGTGGAAAACCCGAAGGAGACCTGAAATCTAGCATATATTCCTATTGTGGCGTATATCGGAACAGCACGAAACGATATGAACACAAACCCAGGTCACACACCAGACTGAGCGTGGCCTTGTCCCACGGGCTGAGGCTCTGATATCTCCGGTGACGCTCCTGAAGACAAAATCACATTATAAACACATCACTACTAAAACCTGAACGCACAAAACCAACAAACAATTCCAAAACTGAAATTTGAAGATGTTCACATTCTCACCTTTTTGCTGAAGGAGGCGAAGGGATCGAGTCTCTCCTCATACTGAGACGAGTAGCGCATCACTGTATCATCACTGTCTCCAGACTAATACACACACACACACACACACACACTTCAGGCTTTAGTGTTCGTCATCTACTGTACAATCTCATTCATGCTCTGAACAAAACTGATGTCCGAGATCTGATAATACTAAATGAAGTACGCATTCAGGCCAACAACATGCAATTATGGCACTAGTGGGGGTGTGCGATGTGTGTCATCTCCGACAATACCATAATTGTTGTTTTAACAATGTGTGAGCTGACACTGAGTGTCACTTATTTCGCAAAAAGTTAACAAACACGTCTTGAGAGCTTAGTAGAAAGCAGTTAGAATGACCCCGAAATTGAAGATATTGGGGACGAAATGCCCCTGTATAATTTTTGTCAAATTTCTAGATGGTATAGCTAAGCAAAATCTCACAAAAATTGTGTTTTTTTCAAAAATTAACCATGGTTTTACTATAGTAAATATGTAGTAACCATATTTAATTTCCGCGTACTGATTTCCATTTGTATTGCCAGTTTTACTACACATACCATGGTTAATTTTCGTGAGAGCAGTATTAAAATAGATGAATGAATGCGCGGGCGTTGCCTTAAAGAAATGTAACAGTGTTGAACATTTAGGCTAATTAATCTTAAACAGTATAACGCGTGACTTTGAATATTAATTAAGAATTTTGGCATAAATATGTGAATTACATACAGTGATATGACTGAATGAAAAATGGCAGAATAATGACTAGAATTTAATGCAAATGAATAAATATGTTAATTCTGATCTTATTCATCAGGTCTGGCACACAATGCAGCACTGCAGTCACTATTTAAACGAGCGCTGGCACAGTGTGGTGAAATCGGTAACGTTACGTTGGATTAAAACAACAAGTTGTGTTGAGTTTGGAAAATTCTGTGCACAGTAATCGTCAGAATATCTCTTCGTCTGTCTCTGAAAATGTCCGGATTTTGAAATCATCCTGCAGATGCTCATTTTAACAGGCTTTTATTCAACTAGGTGATTGCAGCATATTGAAAAATATATATAATCGATACACTGCTTCGACGGTAATCAATTCAGCTGTGATAAAGGTCTATTCAATGATTCATTCATAAAGAATTACTTGATTCATTCATATTTTAAATTTCTTTAAAAAAAATTAAAAAAAAATCTCAGCATTTTTTCACAATTGGAATTACAGTGTAAATGCATTCATGCCACCTCTGAGCTGCATTAATCAATAAATATGAGTTTACCAAAATACCACTTCAGATGCAGCTTCTGTGCCACGAGTGCAAAGATGGATTTTGTTGATACTGATTTAATTCGATTGGTAACAGTGTCTTATCTCAGAAAAATCACACCGCACACCCCTAGGCCCAACAGGAGCTACACACCACTTCACCTTAGTGCTGAAATGTCCAAGTTTATTCATGATGATGATGGTCGACTCACTATGGCGTGACTTACTCTGTTTGGGTAGCTCTGCAGAAACTTGATCTTCTCGTAGAGCTTGATGTTGTCAGCGCGCAGACTGTCCAGCTGGCTCTGAAGAGCCTGTGCGGTCTGCTGAAGGGAGCTGTTCGCCTGACAGACATCAACAACAACACAGTCAGCCTCTCTTCCTCTGAGCAACAGGAGTCATTACAGTGAAGTGCACTCACGGCCTCCAGCTCCTGGTTACGTGAGCGATATCTCTCCCTCTGACTGGAGATGATGGACAGCAGAGAATCCATCTGACCCTGAGGAAGATCCGTCTGAGGAGAGCCGCCCACTCCTCAACACACACACAGTAACAGCTGTATGAGCATCTCATGACTCGAGTCTGTATTATGTGTCCATAAGCATTATATGGTCCTCCTGCTCTCATGAGCCGCTGATATGAGCACGAGTTCTTTAGTTTACCTGAGAACAGAGCGGTGGCCTCTTTAATTGGCTCGGGGATGCTCACCACACTGCTGTCTGCACCCTAGATGACAAAAAACAATCAATCGCTATCACAAATTACTGTGACTTGTGTCAAGATGCCTTTTGTACTTGTGTGTAAGGCTGTGCTTTGGATGAGTTCAGCTGTCAGTTCATATATCTCCTGAAAAACACTGTAATCCTCCACAACTGTCATTTGAAACAGATTCACATGTGTTTTTTTACTCCTCCTATAAAAAAGTGCATCAGTATTCTTCACACTCAGATCAAGTTACTAACTGCCTTTTCAGTGTTCAACTCCATTGTTCAGAAAAAAACTGAAAAATCCTGTTCGCTGGTGAAGACTTCAACAGGAAGTCAGTGATTTCTTGCCAACACTTATATTACACATAAAAACAAAAGTTTGAAGTCACTAGTATCTTTAATGTTTTTTTAGAAGTCTCTTATGCTGCTTTTATTTGCTCAAATTAGGGGTGGGTGATATGGCAAAAATATCATATCACGGTTTTATCACGGTTCTTTGTCATGTTGGTTTTACTGTTTTGCAAGTCGTCTGAGCATTACAGCCAAACTAATTTCCCTATTATAAAGACAAAGCCTTTCAAGGTAACAAAATATTTAAAAAAAGAATAGCGGATATTTAGGCCAATGTGGGTGAAGATAAAAACCTTTGTCATTTTTATCTTTGCTATTAAAAAATAAGAACAAAGATACACATTACAAATACACAAAATATACAAATAAAACAAACAGTGTTTTATTTTCAGGTACGATAGATGTATTTAGCAGGAGCATTCAAGAAATTGAATATAAAAAGAAAACACTATATAGATTGACTCATATTAAAGCAACTGTATTAAAGTTTTTCAGTCTAGTGAGTGATTTTTCTCTTTGTGTTTTAGTTCACCCAAAAATAAAAATTCTGTCATCTGTCTGTCAATTCTGTCATAGTGTTTTATGTTTATACCATCATTTACTCACTCAAAAGTTGTTTTAAACACGAGTTTCTTTCTTCTGCTGAACATAAATGTTATTTTAAAGAACATGGAAAACCAAACAGTTGCTTATCCACAGTGACTTCCATAGTGTTTTTTCCTACTATCAAATTCAATGTGGACCAGCTACTGTTTGGTTACCCACATTCTTCAAAATATCTTCTTTTGTGTTCAGCACAAGAAAGAAATTAATACAGGTTCGGGACAACATGTGAGTGAGGAAATAATGACAGAAATTAAATTTTAGGGTGGACTATCCCTTTAATGACAGTCGGCAGCATGTTTAGTACTGTCCCTCATATTTAGTACTGTCGCTTTAAGACAGGCATGCATCCGTTTCTCTCTCAAATGTTTACTTTCATTTTAGACATAACCAACTGAGTCTATATATAAACCTTGTGTGTTTTGACAGTATTAGCACAAAAGATAACTTCAGTAATCAGGTGATGTTTGACAGGCATTTTAGTGCACGCGCTTCATGTGTGCGCGCTCAGAAAAAGCGCATGTCAGAACAGCATGTGAATGAAAAGTTTAACCTGCAAGGCTTTAAAGCAGATGCAAATAATGTACTTTTGTAATTGCGAGTAAGTGCAGTGTCCTGTGAGAGTAACTCTACCGCTGAGTTAACACTGATGTGATGTGAATGCGGCGTTGTACAGTGTATTGAGACGGCGGCGCCAGAACTGAAGCTGATAGAATGTGTGCTGTAGCACGATACTACGATATTTCTTCAAAAGCAGATCGTGGAGACATTTTTATTGCAAAGATCGTCATATCGCACACCCCTAGCTCAAATATACAGAAAAAAGTAATATTGTGAAATATTATTACAATTTAAAACAGCTGTTTTCTATGTGAATATCTGTTAAACTGTAATGTATTCCTGTGATGCGCAGCTGTATTTTCAGCATCATTACTCCAGTCTTCAGTGTCACATGATCTTCAGAAATCATTCTAATATGCTGATTTGCTGCTCGAGAAACATTTCTGATTATTATTAATGTTGAAAAGAGGTGTGCTGCACAATATTTCTATTGAAATTTTAAAAGAACAGCATTTTGAAATACAAATCTTTTGAAACATTACAAATGAATTTACTGTCGCATCAATTTGATTAATCCTTGATGAATAAAACTACTGTTATCTTTTTTTAAAATTATTGTTTATTTGAGGTTGACTTATAATGATAGTCAAGTTTTTTGCACAAGAACATTTTTTTATTATTTTCAGCCCTCATTCTGACCATCCGTCTGAAATTTTCTCAGTAGCTTGCATTTTGTCAGTATTTTTAGGGCTAGATAATGTTAATTTCTGCAATTAATATGGACAGTTTAGCATGTTAAAAATTCATTTCCTGAGTCTATGCTAATGTTTTCCCCGAACTTTAATAGAAAAACATGAACATAAAGCTGTCGATGAAACAGAAACGGCAGATGGAGTGATGACATCATCTGCTAGTAAATAAAGGAAAAGCTAAATTATTATTGTGATAATAGACTCCGAAGCTCATGCTCGCGTCTGACCTCAGCGTCAGGCCGTGACATCGTCTGGATGAAGACACACACACACACTCACACACACGACACACACAGCCACACAAAGACACAAATACACACACACAGAGAGACACAGGCACACACACACACATCAGTAAAGCCCTTAGACAACATTAAATCAAACCTCGTGACTAACATTTGAGCTTCTGTTTACCATATTTGATGTGCTCTATGTATCTGCATTGATCAATGTTCACATGTAAAACATAAATTAAATCTGTTATCATATGAAGTGATTGCATCTGTTTGGAAGCGTCACATCATAAACGATCATAAACAAATCATTACATAAACTCATGATAATAATCTAGCTTTCCTTTTATTTACTAGCGGATGATGTCATCACTCCATCAGCTCTCTCTGTCTGAACGGATATTTCAGATATCTCAGGTTTCATTAAAAATAATTTCGTTTGTGTTTCACAGATGAAAATAAACTTTTTTAATTTTTTGGATATTTGATCACAGAATTTATTTTTTGGGTAAACTATCCCTTTAAGCCACAAAGGTCAGGTGTGTATATAAGTATTGATACTTATGATACAGGTATTGTATAGTGAGAAATAAATTCATCGCATAAAAATCTAAATCCTAAATGTGTTTACTAGTAATTTACTCATTTGTATAGCATGAAAATAAAATGATATCAATGTTATAATGATTTAAATAATGACATCTCTCATTTAACCAGAGAGAGCAGATATAGTGATGACAAAGACAGAAACATCACCTAGAGTTATTTCACTAAATAAAGGCAGTTTATTAGAATGGCTTTATTTAACCTTTATTCCTTAATTATGATTACATGACACTAGTTAATTAATAAAGATTTATTTTTGTGTGTTTTCTTGCACAACAATTTGTTATGACCTCAAAACACTTTTACCATAGAGCATGATTTGAAAAATAATACATCTGATTTTGCATCACATAACCAGCTCCATATGTATGGCTTTTCTGATGTATTAAACTTGCTCAGTAGCTCACCCGGTACAGCACTGCACTGTGAGCCACATGGAACATGAGTCATAAGTCATTCAGACTTGTAGAAGCAAGCTAAAATAGCATGGTTGCGTCGGTTTTTATCTCACATTTGCTTTTGTTAACACCATCGATTAGGTTTAGGGTAGGGTTTAGAGTAGGCGGTCTGTTATTTTCAAGCACGATAGAGCAATAACCGTTTAGTGCCACTCATGGGACATTTCATTTCCAAAGAGCCACGATACGCACACGGTAATAAAATGTTGCCAGATTCGCATACATCATTTTCAGGTTAAACTGAAACATGCTTTAAGCGCCACTTACTGGATATTTCACATATACGAGAACCAACATATTATCATGTTTCTCCAATGAGACTGGGTTGATTAAATGACAGCGAGAGCTGGATTATAAGCCTGAGATTTAACCTACACAGCCACAAAGTGAAAACATCTACTGGACTATTAAATATTATAAATGAAGATTTTTGATGTTGATGTTGAATGGCTATAAATACCACTTTTTTTTTTTTTACATTATTTGATGGTAAGAAACAATGTTGATGCCACTTCATGTCAGATTTTATGGCTGATTTGAAATATGTTATTGAAATGTGAATTGTCAAGCAGTTTTTGAGATGTTGGTATTTCCTCTTGATTAAAAACAGACTCACTGCTGAGCTCAGTGTTAGCGATGCGCAGAGACGCGCTCTCAGACTGCAGGCTGCGGTTCTTCTCCAGCAGCAACACCTCTAACGGTTTACATGAGTCCTGTGAGAGAACATCACATTAGATCAACACCAAAAATTACACAAAAACAGAACATAAAACCACATGCTCACCTGCGCTGTGGAGCTGTCACACGGCCCAAACTCCATCGACTTCAGGATGCTGTTAATATAAATGTGCCAGCTTTACTTCAGCCATGATTAAATAATACCACATAATGTTCAGAGACGTACCCAAGACTTTAAAAGTTTTAAGTTTTAGTTGCTCTAAGCCAAGACAGGGTTTGGTTTTAGATACAGAAGAGAATCAGATTCCCCTGTTTGCCCGAGTCTATGGATTACAGGTAATAATGTTCAAGTTTCTCACACAGACTGATTGCTTCAATATAAAAATCAGGAGTCGCGTGTATTAATTTTGTGTTGTCTCATATGCTTTTTTGACTCTCATAGCGCCGGTAGCTGTTGACTTGCATTGTATGAATCACAAAGGAGCACTGTTTTAGCTAAAAATCATCTTTACAGCTCTACTCAACAAAAAAGTCAGCTACATCTTGGATGGCCTGAGGATGAGTAAATTAACAGCAAATTTTCATTTCTGGGTGAATTATTGCTTTAACGGCAATAATAAGACTAGTGATGTTATCAGCAGGAACATCTCTTACCTGAGCTCTTTCTTCACCTCCTCATAGTCTGTCTGTGTCTGCAGCTTCTCCTCCAGTAGCTGGACAAATGAAAAGACTGTGATGTATGTACAACAGCAGAGCAGCTCAATCGTACACACACAGCCTGTTACATGGCCACTGAAGTACAAGATCAAACCGTACACGATGCACACTGTACACTACAACATCGATACCCCCGGAAAAAAGAACAGTTTAGAACAGGACAGCGACCTTCCTGACACAGTGCAATTTTTCATTTTTATTGTTTAATTATCACTATGCATTGCCCAGCATGACCACTGGAAACCACTTTCTTGTGCAACCAGTTCTGCCAAGCACAGATCAGTTTATGTGAGGTGCACAAGTAAACACAAGTTTGCAATCTGTAAACACAAGATGTACAACCTAGTCTGTCAAAATGAAGGAGTTCTCATCATTCTCAAATCAGTCAGAGCCACTAAATCTCATGTTATCAGCTTAAAAATAAACACTATTTCTGTGCTTTACATACTTAAGGTCCATGAGATGCTCTTGGGCGGTAATGTGTGCATACTGGTTCTTCACATGAAAATTGTCTGAATTTTTAAACTGTCACAGTACGTATTGCATTCAATATTAAAATCTTACCTTTCAAGGTAACATTTTAGTATAGGGACCAGTTCTCACTATTAATTAGTTGCTTATTAGCATGCATATTTCTAGTATATTGGCTGTATATTAGTACTTATTATGAAGCACATATTTTGCATGACCATATTTCACATTCCTAATCCTACCCAATACCTAAACTTAACAACAACCTTACTAACTATTAATAAGCAGCAAAATATGACTTTATTAAGGCAAAAGTAATAGTTAATAGTCAGAACTGGACCTTAAAATAAAGTGTGACCCTTTTCAACTGTTAATAAGATATGTTTCATAAGTGTGCAGGTGTGTAGTAGGAAATTAAAATACTAGTATAGTTATACAGGGGGAAAACAATTTCTGGAAAGATTTTAATACAATTTCATGAATAAATGTGACACTGTATGACATTTACTTTCAGTTTATTGTCAGTAGTTGCATTTGTGGATTATTGCGCTCAAGATCTATTTTCCTACTCATCATTTCTTCTGTGTTTTCTGTACAATTTTTTTACAGACATGGCTGTGCCTTTATTTGGATGAGCATCCAGTCTATTTCTGTAGTCACTGGGGATGCACCGCAATGAAAATTCTGGGCCGAAACCGAAAATTCCGGCTGCACTTGGCCGAAAACCGAAAATGCTTTGTAATGATTATTTATTATTTTATGAAATAATATAAAGTCATTTTGTAAGACTTTTTAGATCTGCCAACCTTGGAAAAAGTTTTTGTTAGTACTCAAAGTATATTTTTCTCTTTTCGACTGAAAATCGAAAATGGCATTTTCAGCGGCCGAAAATTCGGTGCATCCCTAGTAGTTACATCAACTGCAAAAAATCACACATCAAAAATTTTAGCAGCTTCAGCTACAGTATGCACCAGACTTGCAGGACTTCAGCTTTTTGTGTTCATTTAGAAAACTATCCAGGACGCCAGTTCCGTCTCGCAAACTGGAAGTCGAGAGTAATGCAAGAGTGGTTTGAGTGAGGTTGTCTACCTGGAGCGTGGCGGTCTGGCTCTTGAGCTGCTGCTGTAGCTGGCTGATCTGTGCGGCTGAGCTCTCTCGGAGCGTGGAGAGGCTGGCCTGCAGTCTCTGGACGTCCTCAACCAGCTGGAGCATCTCGCGCTCCTTCGCACTGAGCTCCGACTCCAGACTCGAGCGCGACACCAGCTCGGCACTCTCATCCTGATTAACACACACACAACACACTGAGCACCATATAAACACACACAGACACAGTCGAATGTGTCAGATCTCACACAGAGGTTTACTGTGCATTACTGACGTGCTGCGGATGAAAGAGGTGAACCAACAGTAACGTTAGCCAAAAATCACAGTGGAGCACCTGCTAGAGTCAGAATTAGGAATGTGTAACGCTTATTATGTCACCAGTGTAGGGAAGGTTACTTTGGAAATGTAATAGGTTACAGATTACAAGTTACCCTATCTAAAATGTAAGATGTAAATTAATAAATAAAATGTACATATTGTAACTATTTAAATTACTTTATTAATGTAACTTGATTACATTTGATTACTCTTCTAAATTTCTAATGTTTTCAACTGTTAATCATTTTGAAACAAGTAAAGCAGGCAGGGTTAACCTTACAGGTGAGCTCAACACTGATTACTGTCACTTTCAAAATTCATCACTTTTTTCAAAATCTTCATCACTTCATTTAAGATTATAATAATTTAATTTAAAGCACAGCACCACAAAATCAGACTTTTAGCACCTCTTTTTACTTTGAGATTGTTCTGAGGTTAAATATTGATTTAAAATCATAAGATATAGTTTAATAGTTATGATACTGTTTTTGAAATCAAATCTTTGCATAGCAATGACAGGAAACACTGGCACCTAACAATGCCTTGGGGAAAAAAACTGTTAATTCAAAAAATAAAGCATATGCACAAACCCAAATAGGAAATAAATCAGTTATTGTATAAGCATGTGTCCTATTCTGTGTCCTAAACTCCTGAAACACCGGTGTCTCATATTTTGAAGCAGTCAATGCAATTTATGCAAGAAATCAATCACATCTGTATGTGTGTGAAAACATTTGTATGTGAGTGAAATATTTTCAGAACTGTAATTTCATGACACATTTTTTCTCATTACTTTATTAAAGTAATGTAACTGATTTCACTTGATTACTTTTTGATTACTTTTCTAAATTTCTATTGTTTTCAAATTTTAATTATTTTGAAACATTTAAAGCAGGCAATGTTAACGTTACATTGGTACTCAACACTGATTACTGTCAGACTTTCAGAATCCTTCTTCACTTGAATTAAGATTAGGCCTATAATTGTAAAGCACAACCACCTCAAAATCGGACTTTAGCAGCTCTTTTTACTTTGAGATCTTTTTGAGGTTAAATACAGATGTAAAATCATAAGATATAGTTTAATAGTTATGATACTGTTTTTGAAATCAAATCTTTGCAAAGGAAACAGGAAAAACTGGCATCTAACAGTGCTTCGGGAAAAAAAAAAGTTAATCTTAGAAAATAAAGCATACACACAAACCCAAATAGGAAATAAAACAGTTATCAAATAAGCATGTGTCGTATTCTGTGTCCTAAACTCCTGAAACATTGGTGTCTCACATTTTAGAGCAGTCAATGCAATTTTCATAAGTAACTAATTTAATTACACATTTTTTCTCAGTACGTCGACTGACGTTAAGGGTCTCACTCGGGAGCCCCATTCCCCTCTGAGCTTTAGAAGAAAAGGCCAATGAGAATTGGCGAGTGGAATTGGCATGCCAAGCCACTCCTCCGTACATACGGGTATATACAGTAAGATGGCGGCGTGCATCCACTCATTCAGGTTTGTGCTGAGGAGCCTAGACGCAACCCGCCCATTCAGCGCAGTTCGAGGTTGTGGCATGAGGGACGTAACGTCTCCGTTCCCTCCTTCAGGGAACGAGGGTTACATACATAACCGAGATGTTCCCTTTCAGTCAATCACGTTTGACATTACGTCGACTGACGTTAGGGGTCCCTATGGAAAATGCCACAACCCGAACTGTGTTCCGTAACTTGAGGATGCAGATGCTGACAGGAAAGCGTTTCAGAACAAATGTATCTCAAATCGTAACCTTCCCAACGCCCTGTAAGCCAGATAAGCGGGCCCATCAGGGGTGCCAGTGTTTTCATCGGCAACCGTTGGGGGGCCAAGCACAATGACAGAATGTAAGGTCATGTGAAAAACTTGGAAAGTGAAGGAATCCAGGAGAACACGGTGGAATCCAACCGTGGCAGAACTGAGATATGGTCCGGAGAGAAGAAGGCAACTCACCACCGGACGCAGTAACAGACTTCTCCGCCAAGTCTGCAACTGCGCGGCAGCGGAGGACCCAGAGTTCACCAGCAGGGAACAACTAGGAAAAAGCGCACGTATCCTAACTAGGAATGGTGCCGCAAGCCGAACACCGAGCCCGCCTCCCGCAAATTACCTGATATTACCCAACACACGGGAGGACACGGGCTCCACCCGAAGATTATAGAACCTTGCAAAGGTGTTAGGTGTCGCCCAGACCGCAGCTCTACAGATGTCTGCAAGAGAGACGCCGTGCACCAACGCCCAGGAGGAGGCAACCCTCACTCCCAGGGAGCACGGCTCATCTTGGAACTGGTAAGCCAAGGTGATGGCATCCACCAACCAATGAGCCAACCTCTGTTTGGAGACTGCCATCCCCTTCTGCTGGCTTCCAAAGCAGACAAAGAGCTGCTCGGAGCAGCTGAAGCTCCGGGTGCGTTCCACGTAAATGCGCAAGGCATGGGCGGGACACAGCAACGCAAGGGCCGGGTCTGCCTCCTCCGAGGGCAGCGCTAGCAGGCTCACCACCTGGTCTCGAAAGGGAGTGGTGGGAACCTTGGGCACATAACCAGGCCAGAACGGCACAACCAACAGGACCTGCTCCTCGTCCTCCCTGATCTTGCACAGGGTCTGTGCAAGGAGGCTCACTGGGAGGAAGGCCTACTTGCGTAAACCCCGGGGCCAGCTGTGTGCCAGCGCATCCGTGCCGAGGGGGACCTCAGTCAGGGAATAAAACAGCCTGCAGTGGGAGGACTCTCATGAAGTGAACAGGTCCACTTGGGCTTCCTTAAATCGACTCCAAATGAGCTGAACTACCTGAGGATGGAGTCTTCATTCTCCGGGGAGGGTAAGCTGTCGTGAGAGAGCGTCGGCTGCACGATTGAGCTTTCCCTGAACATGAACGGCACGCAGCGATTTGAGCCGCGTCTGACTCCAGAGGAGGAGATGGCGGGCGAGTTGCGACATGCGACGGGAGCGAATATACGCCACTGTCGCTGTGTTGTCCATCCAGACAAGTACATGTTTGCCCTACAGCAACGGTCGAAACCGGCGAAGAGCAAGCAGCACTGCTAGGAACTCGAGGCAACTGATGTGCCACTGCAGTCGAGGTCCTGTCCAGGAGCCCGAGGCTACATGCCCGTTGCATACGGTGCCCCAGCCCGTCTTGGAGGCATCTGTGGTGACAACAACATGCTTCGACACCCGTTCTAAGGGCACTCCTGCCCGTAGAAACACAGGGTCTGACTAAGGTCTGAAGAGGTGGCGACAACCCGGGTTAATGCCGAACCGAAGAGTGCCATGGCGCCATGCCCATCTCGGGATCCGGCCATGCAGCCAATGCTGAAGCGGTCTCATATGTAACAGGCTGAGCGGCGTAACTGCGGCTGCGGCTGCCATATGTCCCAGGAGCCTCTGAAATAGTTTTAGAGGGACAAATTCACAAATTCAGGCAGTTCAACATTGACTGCGCACGCTCGTTCGTGAGACGTGCTGTCATGTCGACCGAATCCAGAATCACGCCGAGGCAAGTTGAGCTTGATGGCCTCCGTCTGCTTCTGGACTGCAGAGAACTGCTGGGCAAAGTCCTCGACAGTGTTGCTGAAGAGGCCGGCCTGGGAGACGGGGGCGTCGAGAAAGCGAACTTTGTCGGCGTCACACATCTCCGCCAGGTTCAGCCAGAGATGGCGGTCCTGGACCACCATAGTGGACATCACCTGACCGAGGGACCGCGCCGTGACCATCAATTGGAGAGCAAAGTCGGTCGGCGTACGCAATTCCTGCATCAACCCCGAGTCAGGACTACCCTCATGCAGCCTTATCAGTGCCTTGGCCTGGTAAACCTGCAGGATGGCCATGGCGTGCAGGACGGAGGTGGCCTGGCCCGCAGTGCTGTAAGCCTTGGCAGCCAGGGCTGACGACAGCTTACAGGCTTTGGACGGGAGGTGTGGACGGTTCCTCCAGGTGGCAGCATTTTGCGGGCACAAGTGCACCGCAACCGCATGCTCCACCTGGGGAACGTCAACATACTCTCTGGCCGCCCCACCATCGAGGGTAGTGAGGAGGCAAGAGCTTAAACGTGATCGGGCGGTGTACGGGGCTTTCCACGTTTTGGTGAGCTCTTCATGAACCTCCGGGAAGAAAGGCACTGAGGCGGAGCGTGGCTGGGAGTCACGTCCGGAGCCCAGATACCAATCATCGAGCCTCGAGCGCTCGGGAGAAGGCAAAGAGTTCACCTCCAGTCTGATGCTCTTGGCCGCCCCGAGGAGCTGGCCCGCAGTGCTGTAAGCCTTGGCAGCCAGGGCTGACGACAGCTTACAGGCTTTGGACGGGAGGTGTGGACGGTTCCTCCAGGTGGCAGCATTTTGCGGGCACAAGTGCACCGCAACCGCATGCTCCACCTGGGGAACGTCAACATACTCTCTGGCCGCCCCACCATCGAGGGTAGTGAGGAGGCAAGAGCTTAAACGTGATCGGGCGGTGTACGGGGCTTTCCACGTTTTGGTGAGCTCTTCATGAACCTCCGGGAAGAAAGGCACTGAGGCGGAGCGTGGCTGGGAGTCACGTCCGGAGCCCAGATACCAATCATCGAGCCTCGAGCGCTCGGGAGAAGGCAAAGAGTTCACCTCCAGTCTGATGCTCTTGGCCGCCCCGAGGAGTATGGCCGTCAACTCAGCCTCGGACTCCGACTGAGCAGCCGCCGTGGCGGGGAGCTTTTCAGCAGAATCTTCGGCTTCCGAAGACGATAGCCCCTCCTCTGATGCAGCGATAGACATCTTATCCTCTTCCGGAGCCCCGAAAGAGACGCTGGGTCCGCCACGGGACGAACCGGCGCCATCTTCCGGGAGCTCATCGGGGCTACACTGAGAGGGGCCGGACTTCCATGGGGGCTGGCCCGACGGAGCATTCCTGACCGTGATCCTCACGTCACCCTTGTCCCTAACCAACGCAGCCACAGAGTCTTTACGACCCAACGAACTGGGCTGGGTAGAGCCCGAGGGAAGCCTCATTATAAATTAGCGTAGCCATGGACATGTGCTCACAATGTGGGCATGAGCCATCCACGAACACAGCATGCTTACGGCCTAGACACGTGAGACAGCGATCGTGTCCATCGTCAGAGGTAAGGAAACTACTGCACCCAGAAGCACACGGTCGGAAAGACATCTCGAAAGACACTCTCGACAACCCTGCTTGCTGTAGGAAATTGCTCTTTTAGGCTGGTTTGCCCAGGGAAGGACTGTGGCACTTATCTGTGCGTAACGAGGCGATCTCTCTGTTGAAATGCAAGAGAAGGAAGATTCTCCACAGCTGAGAACTCCTGCAGCTTGATGGTGTAGATGGTTGATGGTGAAGATTCCTTTTCTTCTTTCTTCTAGAAAGCAGCGCTCATGAAGCGATCGGCTTCGAAGCAAAAATCTGATTGAGTGGATGCATGCCGCCATCTTATATACCCGTATGTACGGGGGAGTGGCTTGGCATGCAAATTTCACTCGCCAATTCTCTTTGGCCTTTTCTTCTAAAGCTCAGAGGTGATTGGGGCTCCTGAGTGAGACCCCTAACGTCAGTCGACGTAACGTCGAACGTGACTGACTGAAAGGGAACTAGTTACTCCCCAACACGGTATGTCACTAAGAAAGATGACATGAACAAAGCTAAAGAGGAGTACAAGAATAAAGGCATACAAAGACAGTGATCAGGGCTGGGTTTCCCACACAACTATGTAACCACCATAGTATGATGCATCATTGGAGAAATTAACTAGCTTGTTTCTTGAAACCATAGAAACTGTCTCACATCCTTGTTTCAAACCACATTGGTTCAACACTACAGAACTATTGTTAATGATTTACTGAGGTTTTGGTGCTCAAAACTGAATTAATGTGAGTTTATTACAGCTCATTTACATGGACAAGAAAGCTGCTCTTTTTGGCATGGCAATTGAGAACTACTCTACTATTATTGTTCACTTTTTTTGCTTTATTTTCAAATGTTTGATAACCTAATAACGTTAGTTGCTTTAATAAGAAGATTGTTTAATTTACACAGTGAAGACATTTATTTTTACATTTGGTTAATTTTTGTAGTATTTCTTACTGGAATACTATGGTTAGACAGTGTAAATAATTTGATTTATTTGTTCTACTGCATTTCATTGTCCTATTATTTGTAAATTGCTGTTATTTTATTACTGTCTACATTGGTTATGCAATTATTAGTTTTTTTGCTGTTTTGGACAGTTGTCCACAGTGTTGTCTTAAAAAAACTTTGTTTACTTTGTTGACTCAAAACTATGATTTTATGTTAACGGCAGTGTTTATATAGCATATATGATTATATACTTTATGAGATTATAGCAGTGGTTTAGTTTATTTGGCGAACCATATTGTGGTGTTTAAGATTCGGCAGTCTTATAATCACGCTACCAGCCACCTCTATAGTAGAATATGGAACAGCAGCGGAGAGCAGGTACCGTGTATGGAGTCGAGTCGATCCGTGTCTGCAGTGGGGATGATTTGTTAGCTGATGTGATCTGCTCTCTCAGAGCTTCAACCTCCCTCTCAACAGCTTCTGCTCTCTGCAGAAAAACATCATCAACAGAGTTAACAACGCCATCATCTTAGCTTTTAAAGGGACAGTTCACCCCAAAATGGAAATTCTGTGATAATTTCCTCAACCTCATGTCGTTCCAAACCCATAAAACTTTGGTTAATCTTTGAAACACAAATTTAGATGTTTTTTTAAGTTTCTGTCCTTCTACTGAAAGTCAACACAACCAAATTTTTCAAAAACGATACTTTCCACAAATGTATTTCAAGATTAGCCAACGTTTTATAGGTTTGGAACAACATGATGACGACAATATGATTGACACAATGACGACACAATTTTCATCATTATTTGGTGAACTAACCCTTCTAACATTCGTTTTTCTTGCATTTTAACAATTTATGTATTATTTTCAATATAAAAATGCACAACCAGGATGAGGAAAAACCGTGTCTGTCATAAGTGCAATCTGAAAACTTGGAATTTGATGAAAGTGTTACAAAAGGAATGAATCTGTACCTGATTGGCTCGCTCCAGATCAGTCATCACCATGTCAATCTCATCAGCTCTGAGAACCAAATAAATTCACCAATATCTCTCTTGTAATACATGTGTACAAACGCAGAGATGAATTCAATGTGCTTCAATGCTTATTATGTGAACATGCGCTCACACTGTATTAATGTAGCACACACATCTAATTACATGATGATTATGACGATGATGATCAGACAGACTCTTTAATTAGAAGTGGCCCAATAAACTTCAGATCTGCAAGTCACATTCATCTTAAATGTATATTGTGCACTATTTAACAATTTATAAACTTAAGCATTAGCCAGCATCAACAAGCAGACCATTTTGACTGGGAGAATAAAAGTAATTGTTCACTTCTGTTCATTATTTCATCTATACTTACTTTCCCGATTTTTTCTAATATGCTGATTTGGTGCTCAAGAAATATTTCTTATTATCAAAGCTAAAAACAGTTGTGCTGCCTAATATTTTTGTGAAACTTTATAAATTTTTCTTTTTATTGAATAGAAAGAACAGCATTTATTTGAAGCAGATTTTTCATAACAATGTCAATGTCTTTACTGTCATTTTTGTGACTTTAATGCGTTCTTGCTAAATAAAAGTATTGAGCATCAAGTAAATCTTACTGATCCCATAATTTTGAACGGAATAGTACAGTGTGAGTGATCAACTTAAATATTCAGAAGCTAGTTGAACATGAAAGAGTTTATTAGTCGCGCTGCGCCGCTCGCGTCCGGTGTAAAATAGAACCCATTATAGTGATGCTGTCTACACTGAATGCAGTAAACTGATGCCTCGTTCTATTTATGACGTGCTGACACAAAGTTCAAATGATTTTTAACGGTCGCTTTGTCGCGTTCTGTTGCGGCGCGGACAAGGTGTGAGCATAGTTTGTCAGACTCAGTAACGTAGCAGATTGAAAAGTTAGTATTTAACAAAAACCCACCAATTCACTATCTCAACAAATTAGAATACTTCATAAGACCAAAAAAAAAAACACCGGTGTAAAATAGAACCCATTATAGTGATGCTGTCTACACTGAATGCAGTAAACTGATGCCTCGTTCTATTTATGACGTGCTGACACAAAGTTCAAATGATTTTTAACGGTCGCTTTGTCGCGTTCTGTTGCGGCGCGGACAAGGTGTGAGCATAGTTTGTCAGACTCAGTAACGTAGCAGATTGAAAAGTTAGTATCTTTCTGCAGTCCAATAGACGGCAGTGCGGTGGTGGCTTGAGTCTGTTGAATGGTGATTTAACGCTACGTTGTCACCTAGTTGGAGAGACTCAATGCTAAGTAAATAAACAACAACGTCCCCGTCTTTTACACTCACAATGAGCTTATCATATTCGTTTGCTACATTAGTAGGGCATGCAGTAAACATGAATGGAATCCAGTCATAAAAACGGAATTTACTGTATAAC